GGTCTCCGGATCACTTCTTGTTGAGCATGGATTTAGGTTGGTGTTTGAAGCTAAGAACTTTATTCTTAGCAAGAACGGAATATTCCTTGGTCGTGGTTATCTCGACAAGGGATTGTTCAAAATGAATGTAATGGCTGTAAGCCGTGTAACCGTTGATAATAAAAAGCCTATTTCTGTTTATACCGTTGAGTGCTCTGATTTATGGCATATTAGATTGGGACATGTAAATCTAAATGCAATTAAACGGTTGATGAAATTAGAATTAATTCCTAATTCTAAAGTTGAGACAAATACAAAATGTGAAATTTGTATTGAAGCAAAATTGGCTAAGTTACCTTTCCACTCGGTGGAAAGGAGTACTGAACCATTAGGCTTGATCCATACTGATGTATGTGATATGAAAAGTGTGCAAACAAGAACCGGTAAAAAGTATTTTGTAACTTTTATCGATGATTGCACAAGGTTTTGCTACTTATATTTGTTAAGAAGCAAAGATGAGGTTGTGTAAGCATTTAAGATATATAAGACCGAAGTTGAAAATCAACTCGGCAAAAGGATTAAAATAATCCGAAGTGATAGGGGTGGGGAGTATGTGTCTCCTTTTGAACAAATACGTTCTGAATATGGCATAATTCATCAAACGACGACCCCTTATTCTCCACAGTCGAACGGTGTTGCTGAACGCAAGAACCGTATGTTAAAAGAAATGATGAATGCCATGTTGATTAATTCAGGATTACCACAGAACATGTGGGGGGAAGCTGTTTTGACAGCAAATCATATCCTGAATAAAATACCACCTAAAGGGAAAGATAAGACTCCTTACGAAATGTGGAAAAATCGTAAGTCGTCTTATAAATACCTGAAAGTGTGGGGGTGTTTGGCTAAGGTTTCAGTACCTGAACCAAAACAAATGAGGATCGGGCCAAAGAATGTCGATTGTGTATTTATTGGATATGCGTACAATAGTACAGCATATAGATTTCTGGTTCATAAATCAGAAAATCCAGAGGTATCTGTTGGTACAACGATTGAGTCAAGGAATGCTATATTCTTTGAGAATGTTTTTCCTATGAAGGAAAGGGCAGAATCTAGTTCTAATAAAAGAACGTATGAAACTGCTAGTGGTTCTGTACCAGAAGGTACTAATGAAGAACCGAGACGTAGTAAAAGGGTAAAAACGACTAAATCGTTTGGACCTGATTTTATTACGTACATGTTGGACGATGAACCGAGTTCCCTTAAGGAAGCTCTGTCCAGCCCAGATGGACCACTCTGGGAAGAAGCTGTAAATAGCGAAATTGAGTCCATTATGCAAAATCATACTTAGGAGTTGGTTGATCTCCCTGATGGTTGTAAACCTTTAGGATGCAAGTGGATCCTAAAGAAAAAATATAAAGCTGATGGATCGATTGATAAGTTTAAAGCACGTTTGGTGGTCAAAGGCTTTAAACAAAAGGAAGGGTATGATTTCTTTGATACCTATTCACCTGTTACGCGTTTAGCGTCGATAAGAGTGCTTCTCTCGATTGCAGCTATGCACAATCTTGAGATTCACCAAATGGATGTCAAAACGACATTTTTGAATGGTGAATTAGAAGAAGAAATATACATGGAACAACCTGAAGGGTTTGTTGTACCTGGACAAGAGAGAAACGTGTGTAGATTGATCAAATCCTTTTACGGACTGAAACAAGCTCCGAAACAATGGCATTTGAAATTTGATGACGTGATGTTGACAAATGATTTTAAAATCAACGAATGTGATAAATGTGTTTATGTCAAGGGTACATCAAATACATTTGTGATTGTATGTTTATATGTAGACGATATGTTGATCATGGGAAGTAGCCATGAAGTGATCATGGATACAAAAAGAATGTTGAAAAGAAATTTCGACATGAAAGATATGGGTTTAGTTGATGTTATTCTTGGAATAAGGATTATCAGAACCCAAGATGGAATTGTCTTGTCACAATCTCATTATGTAGAGAAAGTGCTCAAGAAATTTGATACCTATGACGGTGCACAGTCAAGGTGTAAGACACCCCTTGATCTCAGTATAAATCTGGAAGTCAACAAAGGTCAACTAGTGGCGCAGTTGGAATATTCACGGATAATAGGGAGTCTGATGTATTTGACAAATTGTACACGACCAGACTTGGCCTATCCGGTGAATAAGTTTAGCAGATTTACGAGCAATCCCAGTCATGAACACTGGAATGCTTTGAAAAGGGTACTTAAGTACTTGAGGTACACCCTTGAATACGGGTTAAAATACTCGAGATATCCATCGGTTCGTGAAGGGTACTGTGATGCAAGTTGGATATCAGATTCGAGAGATTCTCGCTCCACTA